TCTAGTCAAAAGGGTTTTCGTAATATTCCATTTAAACATCGACAACTGCACCTTGAGACCATTGCTCCTTGTTCTGTCACCTGGTACCACTGAGAACAGTCTAGATGCATCCTCTTTGGAACCCCCTTTCAAGTAGTTGAAAGCAGCTATCAAATCCCGCCTCATTCTTCTCTTCTGCAGACTAAAGAATCCTAGTTCCCTCAGCTTCTCATCATAACTCATGTGCTCCAGCCCCCTAATAATTTTTATTGCCCTCCGCTGGACTCTTTTCAATTTTTCCACATCCTTCTTGTAGTGTGGGGCCCAAAACTGGAAACGGTACTCCAGGTGAGGCCTCATCAATGTCAAATAGAGGGGAACGATCACGTCCCTCGATCTGCTGGCAATACCCCTACTTATACAGCCCAAAATGCCATTAGCCTTCTTGGCAACAAGGGCACACTGTTGACTCATATCCAGCTTCTCGTCCACTGTAACCCCTAGGTTCTTTTCTGCAGAACTGCTGCCTAGCCACTCGGTTTCCGTGGGGCGAGCGCCGGATGACTAGCCGCCGACAGGGCCAGCTCAAGGGTTTTGGCCGCCCCAAGCAACCAACCAAACAAACAAACAAAAAAGCTGCGATCTGCGGCAGCAATTCGGCGGGAGGTCCTTCGCTCCGAGCAGGAGTGAGGAACTGTCCGCCGAATTGCCGCCGAACAGCTGGACGTGCCGCCCCAAGCACCTGCTTGGTAAGCTGGTGCCTGGAGCCAGCCCTGGCCGCCGAGGACTGTGGCCGCCAGACAAGCAGCCACCAAAATGCCGCTGTGAAGCAGTGTCATCAAGAGGCGTCACGGCCGAAATTCGGCAGCATTTCGGCAGTAGTGCTTCTTGACATTGCTGCTTCACGGTGGCATTTCAGTGGCTGCTTGTCCGGTGACCAGTAGGTGGGTGCACGTGGATGCCCCGGCGGGCGCCATGGTGCCCGCGGGCACCACGTTGGGGACCCCTGTTCTATGGTAATAACACTTCCAGGTTCTGACCTATAGGTGGGGGAATTCACATACTTTTGATTGATCAGAAAAACGGAATGCTTTTCCTGGGAACTGAAATTTAATTTTCATAGTTACTTATTGCAGACCCCTGAGACAGTCTGTGGACCCCAAGTTGAAAACCACTAGTATCCAGGGTTAGGTGGCAGCCAAGCAGGAATTTCACAGAGTGCAGAGGTGCTGCATACAGGACTTAAGCACCTAAACTGCTTTGCAGATCACACCTTTAAAGTTTAGAAAGACTTAGCTTTTCAGTTATATCAGCAGGTACCAGAGAACTTAGACCTAGAAATATCTACTCAAATCAAGAAGTTACAACAAAATAGACTATCCAAAACTATCCTCACCCCACTAACTGTATTCCTAACCACAAAAACAGCTTTTCTATACAGATAGGTCTGCCCTAAATATAGGTTTCAAAAAACCAGTCTAGAAGACTGCATTACTGGATGGGGGTGGGGGGGTGGAGACTACTTTAACACCAGAATGTCTTTGGTGTATGTCCACCCCTAACACAGGATAGAAAACAGTTGTTTATCTGAGTTATTTTTAACCATCTAAGCCTCCCTAGAATAGGGTTACCATATTTCAGGTTCCCAAAAAGAGGACACTGGGAGGGGGAACTGCAGGGGATACCTGCGGCAGTGGTACTCGCTGGAGGTGGGGGATAGTGTCGTTCCCTGTCATGGTGGCAGGACAGCTGGCACAAGCCCAGGACGCAGCACCAGCCCTCAATCAGCGCCTCCCTATGGACCCCCTCCCTAGGCCTGAGTGGGCAGGACCCAGCAGCTTTGGCTGCAGGGGAATGGACCAAACAGCTGCTGATGCAGGGGAGATGCCAATCGGGAAGCGGTCCAATCAGGGCTCTTTCTGAGCTGCAGCATCTGCTCTGAAAAAATTCCAGACATTTCCTGTTTGAAAAAATCCACCCGGACATAGGACGGAGGCTCAAAAAAGAGGCAATATCTAGGAAAACCTGGACATATGGTAATTCTACCCTGGAATGGCAAGGTTTGAACCCATTGTACTCATAGTCATTCTGAAAAATTCATAATCTTAAAACTACAGAAAACCAGAAGCCTCCAAAGCCATTTCCCTCTGTGATACAAGTGATCCGTCCCCACAGCTGAACTATTTGTTACTGCTCTGATATAATGGATAATGTACACCAAATTCTTAAGCTAACTAAACCATCACAACCCTACTTGCCTTTTCTTCAAGAATCTCATCTGTTTTGTAGGTAAAAAGGTGAGAAGCAGCTTTAATCAGAATTACTTCAAACAGATGTGAGTGCCATTTATATTAACCACTATTAATATTCCTTCTATTCAACTTCATTGTAGCTACAGGAAAGGAACGTACTTGAAGGTTTAGTGAGGTTTTTAGGTATTCCATATGTCTATGTTACAAAACAGTGATAGACATAAAAATGGCAATTGAATGTCCACTTTACAAAAGTTGAAGGAACTAGAGGAAGATGATCAGTCCTTTATACTAAACTAAAAATAAAGATGGCAAGTGTCTGATTCCACAAAGCTCATCTTATTTTTAATTGGTTCAAAGGATCATTTACAGCTTAGTTTATCTATAGATTAACTAATGGTTAAGTTTGTGTTTCACTTATAATTATCTTGCTTCTTCATTCTACTACACATGCTAAATGAGGAACAGAATACTTCATTTTCTTCTTGTTTTTCTGCACCTAGATCAAAGCATTTTATCCTAATTCCCCCTCCCCCCATAAGAAGGTATTGTTCATTGATTAGCACAGTGCCACTTTTTGGTTTGTGTGGAGGTTGCAGCTGTTGGTCCTTTCTGTATATTCCATTTCATGCTGACTAATCTGCAGCTGTAACAAACTAGATCTCTATTAGTTTAAGAATAAAACCCTAAACAATATTTTCAGTATGTTCTTAAAGTTCCTCCATACCTACCTCTGCTTTTTAAGCAGCTCCCTTCAACTATTTTGAAGCTCCTAGCTTTTTGTTTTTTAAAACATGTGTAGTGTTAAATATCTTGTTTAAAACAATCAACTGTTGATTTGTCATGATTTCCCCCCATTCTCAACTTTGACTCTGGTTTAGAGGCTTTAAGGCAGGGGTGGCAAACCTCAGGGCCGGCTTTAAGCTGATTCGGCCGATTCCCCGGAATGGGGCCCCGCGCCTAAGAGAGCCCCGCAACGTCCGGGGCTGCCGGCGGAGCGGGGGGATGGGGGAAAGCCGTGTCCTGCTTCTCCCCCCTCCCTCCAGTGCTTGCGCCGCCATACAGCTGATCAGCGCAAGCCTGGGAGGGAGGGGTGAGGAGGAGGAATGTGGCGTGCTTGGGGAAGAGGTGGGGCCAGGGCGGGGATTTGGGGAGGGATCCAATGGGGCAGGGAGGGGGCGGAGTTGGGGCCGGGCCAGGGCGGAGTTGGGGCGGGGGGGGGGGGGCAGACAATTCGCGTCCTGCCATGGGGCCCCGCACCTGCTAAAGCTGGCCCTGGCCAACCTGTGGCTCCAGAGCCACAGGCAGCTCTTCAGAGGTTAATATGAGGCTCCTTGCATAGGTGCCAACTCCGGGGCTGGAGCTACTGGTACCAACTTTCCAATGTGCTACAGGGTGCTCACTGCTCAAGCCCAGGCTCTGCCCCAGACCCTGGCCCCATTCTCACTCCACTCCTTCCCCAAAGCCCCCGCCTCTTCCCCTGAGTCTACCGTGCCCTTGCGCCGACTCCTCCTGCACACCACAAACAGCTGATTGCGGTGGGTGGGAGGTGCAGGGATGGAGGGCTTGGTGCTGATCGGCGGCGCTGCTGGTGCGTGGGAGACACTAGGGGCGAGGGGGAGCTCCTGACATGTTACTGTGGCTCTTTGGCAATGCACATTGGTAAATTCTGGCTCCTTCTCAGGCTCAGGTTGGCCACCCCTGCTTTAAGGTATCCAAAGCAGTATCTGTTGACTTTTCAAACTACATTGTATCAAAACAAATGAATTTTTAAATAGCTATTGTTAGCAAATGTTCCAAAACTGCATTTGAGAATTTTTTTCCTGGCTACTAAGTCATTTTTCAAGATATAAAATGTAACTTACAGCTTCCTCCCATCCTGTCCTGATGACATATTCCAAGGACCTTTCATCTTGTTCAAATACATTCTCGCTGATGTCAAGAAGAGTATAAACGTGATTCCTCTCTCTCCTCTCATTTGGGTAGATACACTGCCAGTTGGCTTCTTCTGTTTTCTTATTGGTAATGCTTTTTTCTAAATCTAGTTCACTCTTCTTGGAGGAGTTCATCATGGTCCCAGTGCCCACGGTTCTACCCTTTAAAGCTGCAATAAGATGTGTGTCTTAAATAATCAATCTGGCAATTATTGTTCAGATATCCTAATTTTAATGCAAGGAGTTGAGGGCCGCTCCCCCACTGCACTCCCTGAAAACCCAACCCCAAAAGGAGTTTTTTAACTAAAGAACCAGAATTGGATATTTTATACCAGTCCCTTAGCTTAGGCTGCTCTTTGCGCTACTTCCCCCAGCCCCTGTCCCCCTACATCCCCTACCCCCCCCGCGCTCCCCCCACCAGGTTCCCCCCTCGCTCCCCCATTCCCGGGCTCTCCCCTGCACCCCCGCACTCCCCCCCCACGGGGCTTCCCCCTCGTCCCCCCATTCCCGGGCTCTGCCCCGCATTCCCCATCGCTCCCCCATTCCCGGGCTCTCCCCTGCACCCCCGCACTCCCCCCCCACGGGGCTACCCCCTCGTCCCCCCATTCCCGGGCTCTGCCCCGCATTCCCCATCGCTCCCCCATTCCCGGGCTCTCCCCTGCCCCTCGTGCTGCCCTCCCGCCTCACCCTTCGGTCCCGGGGCGCGGGGACATGGAGCCGCACAGGCCGCTCTGCTGCTGCGGTTGTTCGCAGCCCCCTTCCCACCCCGAAGCCGTTACCCTGGGCGACGGGGTTGGCGGGGGGGAGGGGGGCGGAGCGCGGAAGTGAGCGCATGAGCAATGGGGTGCGAGGTGCGACACAAACAGCCTGGGGGGAGGGGCTATGGGGGGGAGGCTTCAGGGAGCGTGTGGGGAGGACGGGGAGAGGATGGAGGGAGAAGGGGGGAGGGCTGGCAGGGCTGAGGGGAGGGGCAGTGGCAGGAGGATTAGGGGATACAGGGATGAGGAAGTAAGAGAACAGAGGAGGAGGCAGAGGGGGTGCCGGTGTGGAAGCTTGGAACTAGCCTGGTCTGCTTGAGCTTTCCCAACCACCACAGAAAGGGCCAAAAGGCCTAGCTGAGAGATGCTTGCATAGCCTGTCAAAGCTAGCGTTGCACCTCCAGCCCACCATGCTCCAGGTCACAGTCCTGGGCCATCCCACTGGCCGTTGTTCCTTGTTTGTGCTGCAGGATGGACAGCTGCACAGATGCCCCCATAGGGTGATGTGTTACCTCAGCCCGGCACAGGGCTGACTCAGGCTGTGACTATGTGGGTAAAGATTTCAGCAAATCACAATGCCATGTAAATGCTGCACTGAAACACACTCAGCAAAATCCCACATTGCAGAAGAAGGATACTTTGAAAACTCCTTGGAATGACTGTCCAGGAATGAAGTCTCTCCTTCCCAATAAGCAAGACTTGGCAGACTGCTGCCAAGGACTCCTTGTGGGATCAACTTTTTTCTGAGCAGCTTTTTCCAGTCCTGTTCCTTCATTGTGGACAATTGGGCCTTCCGCCTCTGAAGAGCTAGGTTCAAAAAGTACTTGGTGGCCTCATCCTTGTCCCTAGTAAACATTTGCAACTGCAGCTGGCCTACACGAAGGGTGATAGCCTTTACCTCTGTCATTCACACAGCCAGCCGAAAATTTTGAGTGGTGCCTCTTTGGCCAGAAATGAGATGAAAAATATTGGGTGCAGAAGGGTCTATGGAAGTTTAGATTTAGACATCTAGGAGAGGCTGCTGGAACTGGGCAATTGTGAGCTGAGGGTTAGGACCAAATAGTTGGAATCTGACATTTGGATTAGAGAACATGGAGAATGTTCAGATCAGTATCCATTCACACTGGTCAATGAGGTGGTGCAGTTGGGAATGGGAAGTCAAGAACGGCAGTTGAGATGTTGGAACAGGGCATTTAGGAATGACATTCGTAACTGAGCAGTTTGAGAGGAGGAGAAAATAAGATAGTGTAGAGAACCCCTTAAGGAGAAGAGTGACAGGGAATAATGAGAGAGAAAAGGTTAATAGAAAACTAGAGTAATGTTTGAGAGAAACAGCACCGAACAAGAAGACATGAGGGAAATAGAGAGCAAAAGAAAAGAACAGAGGACAAAAATGAGAAGATAAAGAGACTAAGAGATTAATCTGAAAAGGTAAATGATCTCCTGCATTTTGTTATACCATACTGAGGTGTAGGAAAGTTTTGAATTGGTGCCTGACCTGTCTTGTTACAATATGAAAGTGAAAACTATCCTTGATTCCAAAATGAGTATATTTTTATTTCCAAGATAATTAATTTGTTCTAGTGAGGCATTCATAGCTGCTGTATCATGTGGATGTTTGATAAATATGGCTTGGAGTTTAGCACTATTACCAGAGGATGTGACTTGGAGACACCCATCCTTGCTTGGTTACAAAATGATCACACAGTTTGCTGTGATGGTCAGCCTCAGTTCAAGGGATGCCCTGGACTGTTATGTCAGGAATGGCAAGATCAAGGTGCAGTTGTTCAGGCCTGGGTGTGGAAAATCTGTACAGCAGCTGTCCTTAGTAAGGGACTGCACCCTGCCAAACTCTTGCTCATATAAATTAATCCTCACTCAAGCAAGCAGTCCTTTTGAAATCAGTGGAACTGCTTGCATAAATTCTTTGAAAATCAGGCTCTGTATGATCTTTTCTCCAGAATTAATATCCTCAGTTTTTAGTCCTTTCCCCATTGATTTTATTTGTTAAATCTTACAATTTTTGTTTCTCTCCTCTGAACTCTTAGGCCAGTCACTTAGAAGCAACATAGAGGGTTAATGCTTAGCTAGTAAAATTGTGCAGGGTGCATTACGCAAAACAGTGTGGTAGATTTACAATGGTATAAGCTAAGCTTAACTCTAATAAGAAAAGACAATTTTAAACTCCTTGGTTTATTTGGATGCTGATTTTAAAAAATCTGCTACATTTCTCTTTAGATTACAGTAGCCCGCTAGGAAAAACTATTCACTAGTCTACATTTGGGGTCACATGTTTTCATTAGAGCACAGTGTTTCACACAACTTTCATATTCTGATAGGGCTGCACAGCCTGGTAAGATCTTAGGCAATTCTACTATTTAACAGTGCTCTGGTGCTTCTCTGAACAACACAGAACCTGACCAAATCTTCAGAATGAAATCTAGTGAAATTTTAAAAAACATGCCAACACTTATACACTACCAATATATCATTGCCAAATCTACAGTTTATTAATGTAAATATCAATATTAAACCCATATAAAATGAGAGACACTGATGAGCTTCTGCTTATAAAAATCTTTGACCAAATTCTAATCTTTTATACCTGTTGACATCACTAGGGTTGCACAGATATAAATGAGAGCAGACTCTCACCTCTTGGTTTCACATATTGAGAGCCATAACTAATTCAAAAGCGGATATAATCACAATGTACTTTACATCTGTAGCAGGGATGTGACATCTCAGAGCTGTGTGTAATTTGTACATTAATCCAATTTATCTTCTTACAATTCTAATAGCAAAAATTAAATCTATTCTACATATTGAAAATGGGCACCCCCATGAAGCAGTGACCACTTCAGTTATATCCTGGCACATCCCTCTTGTTAAGGCACCCCTCTCTCACCCTGCAGCCATCCCCCCATTCCCTAGTGCTGACACCCGATGCCTCCTGCAGTGTCTGGAATCAAGGAGACTGAAAAACATAATGGAGGAATACAACCAGATCATCACCTCCAGACCGGTAGAAGATCTCTTTGTGGCTTGAAAGCTTATCTCTCTCACCAAAAGACATTGGTCCAATAAAAGATATTAACTCACCCTCTTTGTCATACCGTTGACAATCATTTCAGTATTTTGAACTGTCTGTTCCATTCAAAACTTTTTAAAATGGCTTTTTCCACAAAGATATACTACTTTCATATAAAAACATACTGTATTAGTCCCTATGAATCATTTCTGCAAGGGGGCCAGGATAGGACAAGTGATTGAATAATTAGTCTGTTGATGGGATTATCCTTTAGAAAAGTGTCCTGGCTCATGTCCTAAATACATCACTATAAAAGGTGCTTGTTCAGCAGTTGACCTTTACAGTAACACAGACCACTTGTTAGCCATACAATGTTACACTTGAACCCCTGGCTGCTCAAATCCTCAATAGTTGTGAACAAGTCAGGATTTGCACAGATGTGTGGATTTATGCCCACAAACCCTAAATGGTGTGTACACAACAGATTGTATATATGCAGTTCCTGTACGTGCCATAGTACATGCATGCTTCTAAGAATTTAAGCCTTGATGTGTATCTATTCACAGAAGTGGTAGCACTTCCTATTATTAAGGTTACTCAACGCTTCCCATTATACAATCCTGGCTTCTGTTGCTTTTAGCTTTGTCAGACTTCACTGTTTGGATTGAAATTTTCCATGCCAGGTGTCTGCCTTGGGCTGAATTTTTCTGGAAAATTTCAGCCAAAAGGTTCAACTGTTTCTGAGAGCAAGGCTAGGGGAAAATATCTTGTTCTGCCCACTTCCAAAATTCTGGTGACCTTTTCTTTGGAAAGCTCCAGTACCTCTGTGCATTGGAGCAGGGACTTGAAATTTAGCAGAGGGGTATCTTTTGTGTCAGGAATATTTTATTTGTTGATCCCATGAAGATCTTCCCAAATTTGTCCTAGTTATAAGCCTTGGGAAATTGCACTTTGCACATGCGCAGTAGAGGCATCTTAGATTTTAGTAGTTAAATTCCCAGAAGAATCTGTCTGCACTGAGCATGTTGCAACAACTGAAACTGTGGGCTGCTGTAGGTTGTGCAGGATGTATGTCTGGCCCCAGAACTGAAAGCAGGGAGACTGTCTCTCCTGTGCTATCAATGATCCTTTCCCCCAGCTACCTTAATTTTGGCATTTCAAAACTTTTGACTGCTTGACTTTGAAACCTTAATAATGTTCTTTTAACAGATTTTTGTTAATACTGTATTTATATTATAGCTAATTAGATATTATTGACCAAATTGTTGGTAGTCATAATAGTAATATCTTACTTTAAAATGGCACTTGTCATCCAGAAGAATTGACCATAGGATACTACAGATTGTGTATATATAAAAGGATGAAAACCATTTGTGCAGGATTCTTATTCTTGTGCTCCTTAGTGCAAGACAGATAGAACTCATTAAGTTATAAACTTTAAGGTCTCTGAGGACTTCAGTTGTGGGTCAGGGCATAAGCTAAGCCTCCTGTTAAGGTGACTGTGCCACTCAAGACTAAAACCACCACTCTTGAAACCTTCCAGTCTGCATTTTCTTGACAGGTCAGTAAAGGAGCTTTGCA